TGGCCTGGTATTACAGTAACATTTCTTGTCTTATATTAGAGTAAATACAATATTGTTTAACAGCTAATCTAAAAAGTGCATGTTTTACACACTTTACTTGCCTTAAGAGCTTAGTACCAGACACAATGGTTAGCATTTCTTTACAGACAGTAAGTGTATCCTGCTTACATATAAGGAAGGAATATTTTCCATAGGTCAAGTTGGCAAGGACTGTGGGAGTTTTGGCCTTTATCCACAGTGTGCAGCACAGTCCACTGCATTAGCTGTGCCCTTGCCTCCCTTGCTCTTCTCTGTGACATGTTGTAGGGTTTTCCTGGCACTTGTAGTTTTGTGCCTTGTAGTTATACGAGGGGGATGAAGTGGCAGTTTCAGGGAATCCTTCAGTAAATGACTGCCTGTGAATGCAGGTGATGGAACTCCATGATTCAGGATCCCCCTTCCAGTCCTTTGTTCTTATGCAAAGTTGAAATGTTTGTGTTAGTAATAAAACCCATTCTGTTAAACTTTTAAGCTTAAATTTGTTGTTTATAAGTGCTGCTTATTTTTTGACTGTTGGCTGTTTAGATTCATATCCTGGAAGATCGATTGAAAAACTATGAGAAGAATGCGTATGTCACAACAGTTGGAACACCTTACAGAGGTAAGGAGAAGTCCTTTCTGATTTAAGAAAGGAAAATAGTTCTCTTAAAAAAAAAAAAAAAAATCAGATTAGTTTGCTTGAAAGTTTTTAGGCCTGTTATCCAATAGAACATGCAGGATTGTGCTAGTTTTACCATTGAATGTTGTCCATATTTTGTCACATTTAGTACAACAGAGCTCTCAAGTAGGGCTGTGCGAAGCTTTGGTCATTGATTCGATTCGGAGGAGATTCAGCCTGTTTTGGCAGCCAATTCTCCGAATCCAGATTGAATCAGGAAACCCATTAATCTCTCGGAACTGAATCAGAACCTTCCGATGAGATTCAGAGAGATTCGATGTTTCAGCCATAGACACAGCTGTATATGGTTTTTTTTTTTTTTTACATACCCTAAGGGACCAGGCGTGGCTTGTGAGTGCTCAAATGGAGGTGTAGATGGAGCATCCCATGGGAACACAGCGGGGAGGTCCCCCGCACCTTCAGTGGAGGACCCAGAAGTGGACCAGAAGTATTTCTGGTTCACTTCTGGGTGTGCCGCTGAGCACGCAGCCCCTCGCCCCCTCACTCCTGTGGGACAGTCCATCTGCCCCAGCATCGCACCATTCACAAGGCACACCTGCTACCTCAAGGTATAAACCCCAGGCTGGAGCTAGAGAAGACAGTTCTCCACTGGCAGCCAAGGAGGAAGGAGCCCTCATAGAGTAAGTGAAGGGAAGAGGCCTAAGTTCTGCTCCCAATAATAGAAAGGGGCAAAGCACACCTTATGCAGT